TGGGGGGGGGGCGCAGCGCCCCCCCCAGCAGCACACCAGATCCAAAGGTGAGCAGCTCGTGCTTGCTTGCTTGCTTGTTTCGTCTCTGCAACGAAAACAACAGGAAAAGCAAATACAAAAAGAGAAAGCAGAACAGCTGCCAAAAGAAAGAAAGAAAGATAGATAAATAGATAGGTATAGACAGATACAGAAGCCACAGAAGCCAAAAGCCACAAAAGCCAGAAGCCACAGAAGCCAGAAGCCAGAAGCCACGAAAAACAACAAAAATTCCAAAAAAGAAACAAAAAAAAATCCAAAAATAAATACCCCTCTATTCCGAACTCACTAAGCCCTTAAACTGAGTGCACCTATGAATGTACAACAAAAATGTGCGAAGGTTTTCACACTGAGTTCCGTTGCCTCACACTGAATTTCCTGTTTCGCACAGAGTTTGCTCCGCTCACACTTTTTCACACTGAGTTTTTCGGCAGGGTTATGCTCAGTGACACAGTGACCTTTGTGAAAAGGTGGGCGGGACTCGTGAGCTTGTTACACGATAAATTAAATGTGTCAAGAATATGTGGCTGAGAAGCATCTTCCGCTTGATTACTTCCTATATATGCCTTTGCAACATGTTTTTGTCCAGCAGGGGCGGGACCCCCTACTCTTCATTGTTGAGTTTCTCTGGGTAGGGCAAACGGAATGTGTACAGTGTACAGGCTGATTGGTGAAATGGGGTTTGCCGTTCGCTTCTCAGCACTAAGAGTTTGAGGCGCTTGTCTTCCAAAATCTCGGTACGCAAAACCTTGCGCCGGTGCATTCAACTGTAAACATGCTCGTTGGAGTTGTGTGGTCGAATGAAGAAGTTGTATGTATATGTAGTTGAGAATCTGTCCAAGACCTTGAAGTTGAAAGGTGTTGGGCAATTGTCCCAATTCCACTTTTTCTGCGGTGGGTTGAAATGTCTTGAGGACTGCCATCGTATCGTTGCGGATATCCTCTTTCTGACTTCGTGCTTTGGGCTGTAAAATTCTCTCCCGTGACGCTGAGCTTCCAAGTATGTTTCTTCGTCAATACACTTCTTCGATTCAGGATTGCAGAACGGACCCTTGCTCTGGCGGTGATGCGCAAAGTAGCAGCATTTGGAAATATTCTGACTCAGCGTCAATGAGATGCAGGCATTCATTCGCAATCCTTCAATTTTGGCAAGTATCAATGTGTCACCTGCATAGGGAAGCTCTTGAAAGTTAATCCCTTGGATTCCCTTGGGAAGTTTTGGATCAGCCATGACATGCCTTGACAAAATGAAATGGTACAAGGCTGCCTAGTGCCCGTCTGTTGAGGGGTAACGATGGGCATGGATGGGTTAATTTCATCCTTGTGCAAAACCTGCAATCGAGGGTGGCTGCACAAAAGATTGTGTTACATGTAGTAGTTCGGCATTAGTGTTGAGACCTTGCAGAGTGCTGGACATTTTGTCATGAGAAATCTTAGTTACAGTACAGTCTTCGTTTTCAGGGTGTTTATGATCTCCTTTCTTGTATAGGCTGGCAATGTGGGCACCTTTGAACTGACGTGTTTTGGCTTGAGGGCCTCATCGAGGTTTTTGATACTTTCCACATCCGAGTATTTGAAGAGTTCAGTGTAGGCTCCATCTGGATCAGGAGCTTTGTTCAATTTCAATTTGCTAGGTCTTGCTACTTATATAATTGCATCCATTTCTCCAAGTCACCCTTTGTTTTCCGTGGCGTGCTCTGCGGTCTGGCATTTCTCCAAGTCACCATGCTCCAAGGTCACAACGCCAACAAGCACGAACGGTCTACAGTAATTACAGTATACACTTCCGCTCTTATATTATACATGGAAGCCAGGGACTAAAAAAGGCCTATATACATGGCACTGCAAAGCTATATGTCTGGCTGCAAAGCAATTGAGACACATACACGTCTCTTCCCAGGATAGACCGTGACCCTGCCAAAATTGGATGACTGCTAGGTTAGTGTTTTTTTCAAAAAAACGCTCATTGTACCACTAACATGGCACTGCAGCTGCTGCTGTAGTCAAGCAGCGGTGGTTTCTAAGTTAGTGTCTTTTCTTTAGTTGGGGCTCTGCTAACATGTATCCTCAAAAAAAAATGCCTCTGTGCTTCTACGTATGTCTGCAGAAGAGTATATAGATTGTTTTGGGATTTCTACTTATATTCTCATTCCACAAACCGTTCACTGGATGATGAAGTGAATTGGAAGTGCAAATTCTGGAAAGTGCAACCCGACCTTGCGACGAGCGATCTGCAAGAACTGGCGAATCTCCTTGGCCGAGTCAGTTGAACAAGAAAAGCCTATGGCGCCTGCCTACATATATCAATTGAACAGTATTTCATGAAGCATCAAGGCATAAGTCTATGGCCTTTTCTCATGCAGCAAAGACCAATCCTCCACAAACCTGTGACCCTGGAGTCCTGTTGCTTTTTCCGGGAGTCGGCCTATGTTGGGCTGCGGTTTTCCCCGATGTGCCAAGGGAACCAGAAAATCCCTAGTACGGCTGAAGAGAAACAAACTTCCAGAACCCCTCCTGAGCCGCTATTATCAAGCTCCTAGTAGCGTCCTTTGCTCCTAGTAGTAAGGCCAGGAGCCCCTAGTAGCGTCCTTGCTCCTAGTAGACAGTGCGGAGGTGCGAATGAAACATTCTATCTTTTCACAATGCAGAAGTCCTGTCCAAAGTACTGAGCACTGGAGAGATGAGAATCTCATGGTGAAATGAGACTTTCATAAGACCGAGACACAGTGATCTGCTTGGGCATCTTCTTGGAATCAATGGAGGCCGATCTTTGAACTGCTTGAACCGACTGCACACATCAGCCAAAAGCATAATTTTTGGGGGTTGGTAGGGTCCTGATTCATGATTCCTCCTGACTCCAGGTCACATCCATGTGTACATCACCACCAGTGCTTCCACATCATGCAAACCCCGAGGCCCAACACAAACTGCGCAGTAGGATTCGCTCAGTGAGCCTGTTTCAGGCTTCTGTCGCTGTGACACAACTGGTCGCTTTTTTGGGGCCTAGCAGAAGCATCAAACTGGACAGGTCAGACGCCAATGCGGTGCGCAAAACGAATTACCACGAAAGGCTGACATTGCTTGGCTTGAGACTCGCAGCCATCCGAGGCATCCTGACATTTCTTGGCCTTGGCTTAAGCTTACAAGTTATCAGCCTTGAGATGTGGACTAGTTTCAAAGGGGCAGCATATAGTCAGGGTGCATGTCGTGAGATTAGCTATGGCATCGAATTATGCACGCTCAAGAGAAGAGCCTTGATTGCGACATGACCTGCTGCCAGAGTTGGGTGATTTGCGACAAGGGTATTTGCGCAGGGGAATCCAAGAGGGTCTTGTGATCCAAGTCTTGGAATCATCAGTGATCCACAAACAAAGAACATCCATGTCGCACGTCTCTAGATATCTTCGCATGCCGGCTGCATGCCAACCTCAAGCTATGCTGGAAACCAGGTCAGCATTTGGCTCATCCCAACCTGGGTATCAAAAACCGCAAAGCACTGTGAAACAATCTAAATCTTAATGTCTCGACCTAACAACTGATGACCAATAGGCATATGTGGCAGGGGCGGAAAGGAGGGGAAGAGAGATGATGATGCATGCCATGCGCTCCTTTCCTTTTGACTATCATTTCCATTGAAAACACAACATGGTCTTGCGTGGGGAATCTAAGAAAGTTCTCTATGAATTCTCTATGTTGTATGTTTCCTTTTAAACCCTCAAGGGTCCGATGGCCAAAATAGACCACGGAAAGCACCACATGGCCCGGGGTTGGAACGAATCTATCATGGATAGTTGTCGTGAAATGTTTCTGCAATGTTTGGGATATGTGGCGTCCTTGCTCCTAGTAGCGATGCCAGGAGCCCCTAGCAGCTTCTTGCTCCTAATAGCGATGCACCTCGCTCCTAGTAGCGTCCTCGTTGATATGTGTGAGCAGTTGAGAGTTGCAAAATGTCTTTCGACTACCCTCAGTGTCTCATGTGATGCTCAAGAATTTTGCCTCTGTCTCATGCGGCATTGCCCGACTAAAAGGCTACACGGCTACGCTTCGATATGTTTTGAGCAATTGACACCAAGTACGCAACCAGGGAGACCCGAACCGACTTCCAATGGCCTTGCACTGTGCCGTCGGGCTCTACAGACTTCAGGAACTTGCTAAGCTGTATGTGCAATCAACTGTCCACCACCTTTGAACTCACATCTGGCAATGTGGCTCCGTGTTGTTAAGCAATCAGCAATTGAAACCTATTGCCTATTGCTGTTGGAGGTGTAGATTCTTCAGGTGATTTTGGACAGCTTCATCAGCCATACAAATAGCACATCCCAGACTCCTGTGGGTGACTTTGACCCTTGTCTCAACCTGCAATTGACTCGCCTATTGTATTGTGCATGCGGAAAACGATTGTGCAGCAGCGACGTCAGATTGATTCATTGGTCAGGTGGTGTGGGTGGGAATGCTTAGGTTTCACAGAGCATGGTTAGTCTGAAGTCCATAACCCATGAAGCTAGCTGCTAGCTTTACAGAATCCCTTGATATTTTCTTGATATTCGACATCGCGGTGGAATCTGCTCCCCCCATATTTTGCTCATGTCACTAGATGGCAGCTCCAAGCTCATCTGCTCCATCATCTAGCTTGGCCTTATGACGCCGCACGCCATGACAGCAACATCTGTAGACCAGGATGAGGGGAATAACCACAGCCGCAGTGGCGGACAGCCAGTGCCATGGCTGCCACGCAGAGATGTTTGCAATCCGTTCGCAAGCATCTTCGCCTGTGGGCACCCTTGGTGCCGGGCTTCCTGGTACTGGTTGAATGCCATGACATTGTAGCAAGAAATGCAATTCAGCTGTTTGGTACGGAGACAGCGCGATCCGTGCCGATGGCTCTAGATTTGACTTGGCCATGCTGCTGGGAGGGCTTCCATTGCATGCCCAAAGCTCTAATTCAGGATCATGCCCACGTTGCCAAGTCACCTCCACCGATGGATATGCATCAACATTGCCACGTTCTTTCAGAAATGCCTTCACTTTGGGCAGTGAATTCAAGCGTCAGCCTGGACAACTGACTACCCGGGCACAGGGACCTTGCCAAAGCCCAAGTGCTGTCTCATTGTCACCAAGTGCCGCAGGCAAAATGCATGCAGCAACAAAGATTTGGAAAGCGGCAGAAACCATGTTGCCCGCTCAAGTTCTAAGACTGAGCCAAAGGATTTGCATAGTTTTGGGCAATAAAACCACGTGCATCTCTGCTTAGCTGGCTTCTCTGTGCAAAGACGCTTCTGCAACCAAGCGACTTCTTTTTTGGCCCATCCTCAGCCATCACCAGGCTGAAGACATGACGTGATGGACGAAACAGCTGGATTGTGCTGAGCTAATCGGATTGCCCTCATAATGTTTCCAGTTCTGTTCTTGGCCGAGCTCTGTGGACCGCGTGAGCAGAGCTCGAAGCATGGCATGGAGTTGCTACACAAAAAGCTCTGCGTTGCCCGCGTGGCCCCCACAACCCGGCAAAGCAATTTGACTCAAAAAAAAATGAAGAATGATGAAGACAGGGATAAACACAATTGCTGAGAAAAAGAGCGAGAAGGGAGAAGAAGGACAAAACAAGAAAAGCTACGAGAATGAAGGGATACATTCAAACCTTAAGAAAAATCTTGAGAGAACTGGACCGAAACCTTTACAGTAAACAAGACTCTGTGGTTTGCTCCACCCATACCCCCTTTCAAACAATCCCACACCATCCCGGCCGCATCATACTGCGCAGGCACCGCTGCTTGTAGGTGCGGATCTCGCTCCGTGTCAGCCGATCCCTTCGCCAGTCGCCACTGGATCCCCGACGCCGTGCGGGGCGCTTCTTGCCCATCTGCACGCGGTTTGAAAAGCGTTTGGAAGGGGCATGAGGTGTTTGGACTGGAGACTGGAGTGTAGTGTGTAGGGGGGGTTTGCAAAGCGGGACCAGGTTGCGACCATCTGGAGGGGATGGGCTACTTCTATCTGATGGATCTTGAGGATCTTGATATACAGGCCTCGTACTTTTAGTATGGCTCAAGCGGGCTTTGCAGCAAAGCAAGTTGTCCTACCACACGTCCAAAGCTATCGATTTTTGCACAGCAAGGACGAGCCTGCACATAAATAGATTCTGGAAAAACATCCTCCATGACCTTGGCACAGTGCCCAGGACAAACCAAGGCCTGTAGTAATGAACCTCTGCCTCTTCCTGTGCTTGCAATCTGTAGGGATCTGGAAGCTGGGCCCCTTGCACATCTAGGCACTTTGCCGAAGATAGTGTCTGGATCAATTGCAGCCTGCTTTTGGATGCACGAAAAGTAGCCCTCCTAAGGCAAGCATGGAGCAGCATCGAACAAATTATCCAAACAAAAAAAGAATCTGTCTTGGAAATATTGGAAAGTGGCATGTGGCGCTTGCTCACTCTAGAGCAAGTTGCTGACAAGGTTCACACCATGCGGGGATCGGCTTCGCCTGCCTGATTTTATCTCTTTCAGCTGCATCTTCGCCTTGACAGACTAGAGGAAATTCAGGCAAACAAGTAATAAAACTGGTGCTTTCCTGGAAAACTTGAGGGAAACTTCCAGGACTTGGTGGACAAGAACCGACTTCCAGAATATTCAAATGGCCTTCAGAGTCCCCACCATACTCTGAGATTGCATAGTTCTCCTGCACAGCTGACATTCTATTGCACTGCATGTGAGCTTCACTGGCTGTGCCAAGCAATCCACTGAACACAGTGCGACAAGTATCACCTTAGACTTGTTTTGGATTGAAGAGTAGATGGCACAAACTGAAGCCAAAATGTCTTTTGTATAGGGGTCCATTTTGCCACACCTTTTGGGAATTGTGCCATCTACTCTGAAACCACTGTACTTTTGAATCAAGACCACCAATCAGATTCAATTGCCCGGGAAGTTCTCCGCCCTCCTCTGGATTCCTCAGATCGGACTGCACAGTGCTGTGTTGTTGTGGTTATACCTGGGCTTATTGTACTATTGAGGGTCACACACACGAAAAAAACGTCTGCCAAGTAGTATGCGTTCTCAGTTCTGGTGAGTTGTGAAGCAGTGCTGCTACCTCTGATTGGAGGTCTGGATTGGCACGTCCTCCAAACAGAGAGATGAAGCCCCTTGGTCCCGGAACCCAAACGATCCAAAGCGCCCAAGAAGTCTGGTAGCTGAGGGGACTTGGACCATAAAGAACAAGCTTTTGACCGATTTCAATGCTTGGTGATGTTCGGCCAATTTCTTGGTCTCAAGGTGAAAGCTGGCACTCTTCGGACACCTGCACGATGCTTGAGGAGGCGTTCAACCAGCGGGCGGCAACGTGCCGAAGGCAAGTCCAATCTTATATGATGATCTCCATCTGCAATAGGTACTGGATGTGCATGTGCAATTAAGGGTAATTGAATCTGCTCAAGTAAAATTCAATTCCATGGAAGGCAACTTAGGTGTTGTCCTTTGACATCCGTTCACGTCGCCCCACAGACTTCCGCAGCTCCGAGCATCTTGGGCGGCAACTCCATCACACGAACTTCCAACGCAGGGTCGCGGAACGCGCGCACCAGTGGCACAGCCAGCGGCACCTTCTTGTGGTCCTGGCATGGGTGGTGGAGGATGGGATTCTTCATCTGGTTGGTGGCTTTAACTCATTCGAATAATATTGGTCAGTGAGTTCAATCATCCCAAGCAAAGGTGAAAAATATCCGAAACCACCGCCTAGTCATCATCCAAAACATACTCCGCCGCCCAACTGCTGGTATTTCAGTCGCACGATGTCCCAATTTCAGATCATGGATGAGTCGAGCCAGAGGAAACTTTAAGCGTCAATGGTCTATGTTTGAGACAATATGTTCCCATTGTTTTTATGGACATCCATCATTGAAAGGAAGAAAAACCAACGCTCAAAACAAACACTTCTGCAGCACCTCCGGCACTCCCTGCCCTCGATTGGGCTTTAAAGCTTCACCTGGGCTGCACATGAAAAGCGGTGCGGCTATCATCCATGTGCGGCTGAATGCGGCCGTCATTCATTTCCATCACTATTAGGTTGGAGGCCATGGCTACTATATATATATATATATATGCGAAGCACTGGCAGCGAAGCGGACAGAAACTCTTTTCCGCGAACAAACCAAAGGTTTAGTGAAACATGTTATGCATGTGCTCCATGTTCTGCTTTGTCTCGATTTGTGCGTGTCTTCCTTGTAAGCATTGGACCGATCGGCTCCTCTTGGCCTATCATGAAAAGGCCGTTTGGCTTTGGGCCGTTGTGCTGACATGGCGAATGCTCTGATCGATCGACCTGACAGTGAACTCACTGGCGAAACTCACACTCATTCTTTTTCTTTTCGATCAGAGCCACTGGAGACATCAACTCCTTGAAGTTCTTCTGCCAGCTTTCGTCTTCTCTGAACATTGGCCTCTCGCTTCTTGGTAGGCTTGTCCAGTTCGACGCTGCGTCGATGACGATCAGCCCCCTTTTTCTCTTTGATCTTCTTGTTGGCTTCACTTTGAACTAACGACATCATGCCTTCACGAAGGAATTCTCGCAATGTATCCTTCTCGGCTCCAGACTTCGTCAGAACATTTGCAACATTCTGCATGCCATCTATCCAGCGAACAAAGGCTTGAGGCTGTCTCACAATCTCTCTCAACAACGCTCCCTCCAATGCCATCCGTTTGTCTGTCGACGTGGATGTAGCGTCCTTTTGGAGGCAGTCGTAGACAGAACGAGCGTCAGTGACATAGACCCTCTTCCTCCTTTGGATCACAGCAGGCCAGTCCTTCAGATTCAACTCCCCACTCAAGGCCTCCTCCAGCAAACAAATGCACCAATCACCAGCTTCAACTTCTCTGGATTGGCAATCAACAGAAAATATCCACCAACACTTCTGTATCTCATGATCTCGTCCTTCTCGGGCGCGCCGTTTGCATGACCACTATCAGCCAAATGAACAAGAACACCGTTGCGAAGGTCAACGTCCGACCAATATCTCATCCTGAAGTCAGCTCCTCGACGGGCCATGGAAAGATACTGCTTCAACTTGGTGAGGTCGCCAACACAGGCGTCAGTCTTTGAACGCTGAACGACTCCATTCTCGTATCCAAGATCGCATCTCAGCTGTCGCGTCAACCAGCCAAGCTCTCCAGCACCTGTCAGAAAATCCTTCATCTCTGATTCTGTCAGTGAACTTTCAACTTGTGCTTTGCGAACATTGGAAATGGAAATCTTCTTTGTGTTCAATGAATAGTTCCGCATGGCAATGTCAATGTGACCCGACTCATGCTGTTTGATTTCACGGCCTCGGAAAACAAACTCCTTGAAATGATTTGTTGCAAACTCTAATGCACGACTCGACTTGCGAAAAGCAACATCAAGGTAATTTGGATCAACGCCACCTTCAATGTCATGAACATGCGTCACCAAGATTCCTCGAAGCTGTCCCTGCTCACGCAAGTAAAATAATGCAGGCTCCAATCTGCTTTCAACCCAACCGTCAGATTGCAGGTGCTCCTTGAGCGCCACCCAAAACATTCGAGCTGCCTCGCTGAAACCATATATTGCTTTGCGGGCAAGCAACAACTGTCCAGGCTTCAGTCCTCTCAGTCCACCCTTGGGCTGTTCCAAGTAGACCTCCCGGTCTAAACTCTTTCCACTGAAATATGCGTTGCGCACATCTTTGGAAATGACAGTAAAACCAAGGTTTGCGGAAACTGCTAGGCAAATGCTCTCTGCTAAAGCGCTTGCTGTAGGGGCATCCCTTCTGTAATGGCCAAGTGAACGATCTTTGAACCCTTGCACACCCAGTCGTGATTTGGCTTGAAAAGGTTTGTCTTCCAACCCTTCGGACTTGTTTGTACGAACCCAACGTGTTGGAACTATCAGGTCCGGCTTCAACCGTCGAATCTCTCGACTCGACGTTTCATCCAAAACATCAACTGCACCCTTCTCTTGCCAAGCACGCCACTCTTTCTCATCTGATTCGCCATCGTCTGTAAACAACTTGCTAAGCTCTTCGGGCAACTCACGCAAAAGAATCTCCTTTCTCCCACGCTTCTTGCCTGCAGCTGTGCCAGGTGTTGCATTCATTGCAAAATCATACATCTCCTCATAGTGCCTGTCAAAGCGGTTGCGACGAAAACCAAACATGAAATCGTCATAGGAAATGCCTAGCAATGCGTATTCAAGCTCCTTGGCAAAGTATGCTGCTTTTGCTTTGCGCTTCAACAAACGCGGTTGCTCAATGACCAAATAACAAAACAAACCCTCACCCTCAGCTGTTGCGTCAATGTCATCGCCACGAAGCCGCTTGGCTTCTCGCTCTTGTGTCTCAACTTCTGGGCTCTCGGCAACGACAGGCAATCTCTTCGAAGGTGATGATTGATGGTAATCATCAAGCTCTGGATCATATTCAGGAATAGGCGCTGCGGCTGCACGCTGCTGTTCCTCCAACAGAATTCTCCTCGACCGCTCTTCGCGAGCCTGCTTCCTCTCACGCTCCTTCTTGGCAAAGAACTCCGAATCCCGTCTAGCCTTCTTTGCGTCACGTTCGGACTCGTAACGCATTCGAGCCATGGATGTGGAGCCAGAACTCATGTCCTCATCTTTACGCTTGGACGGTGAAAGAGGTTGCGGTTCAACGGGCAAGGGAACATCTTCTGCTGAAACTTGAGGAATCTCTAGCGCAGGTGTTGCTTCAGCTATTGAAGGTTCATATTCCATGTCTGCCGGGTTTGGCTACTCCGGCAAGTCCTCCAGCTTCTCATCGTCTGCAGGCGCATAGCCTTCAACTGGCGGTTTGGGCATCTTGCGAAGATCAATGAATCCGGATCCACCGGCAGCAGGTTGCGCATCTAACAACTCCATCTCTGTCCCAATGGTCAACCACTGTTTGACTTCTTCATCAAAAGCATGGGCCAAATGTTCAGGAGAAACGGCAATCAAAATACCACGATGCGAAATCCAAACTGTATGTGTACCCTCATGTCCAATCACCCGACCAATGCCACGCCAACACTCAGGACCTGGTGTCTGATCTGAAGCATCAAAATAAAAGATGTACGACCCGACCGGAAACGGTCCTCTAGCAGGCTTGACTCTTCTCAACTCAGCACGTTTCAATGCCTCTGAATTGCTCACCTGAACAAACGCTTCACGAGCTGCGAAACGAAGTTTGGCCTTCTGGTAAAAACGACCTGTGGGCACTGTAGACAATGCTAAGGCTCCTAAACGGATTGCTTCTGCGTCATCTGTGAGGTCTGCAGGCAGGCGAATCGAACGACCCAACACCCACTGCGCCGGAGAAAATCCCGACTTCCTCACTAGGTTATTCTTTGCTTGGTTGACTGCACTGGTGCATGAATCATGGTTTCTCTCCCAGCACATTGTTGTGACCAAACAACACGCTTCATGATGCTCTTCCAGATTGCTCCATGCCTCTCAACTTGTCCCAACTGCCAAGGCGATGCTTTGGCTGCACTGTCGCAGTAACACCCTTCGGCGGCTAAGGCCTCTGAAAAATCTGCCAGAAAATATTTTGCACGATCACAGAAAATGCCATGCTCCGGGTATCCTGCCCAACTAGTCCAACCTTGTTCAAAAGCACGCAAAACTGTGGCAGCTGTGGGGTTGGCATGTGTTTCATCAAGCAACATGCAAAGCTGAAATGTTGTACCCTGGCACAAAACATTCAACCAAGACCAACTCTGTCCGTCTGCATCCTTTCATTGCAAAATGTCAAGACCCAAACAAGCATTGAATTCCTCTGTCAAAGGCAGTTTCGATGGTCTAGGATGCTTCGGCTGTTGTACGCGGGGGCAATCTGGACAACGGAAAAGTCGTGTGGCTCTGATTGCAACTTCTGAAGCTCTGCTAACTCTCATGGCTCTGAGCATCTGCGGAACTGGTGCATGACCCAAGTTTACATGAACTCTTCGGATTGCAAGTTTCAGTTCTCGTGGCAAGGACTGCCACTTCTGAGCTCTCCAAACCTCGCGTTCTCGAGCTCTTGGATCATCTGCATCAGGCTGCTCCACCTCGCCCAACGGGCGGCCAAACAAAATGACGCAAAGTTCACGTCCTTCTGCAACTAAAGGTCTTGTCTGGCTAGATGGGGCCAACTGTGTCCACTCTTCCCAACCTGTGCTCAAACATGTACCTCATTTCTGAGTAGCAACAACGATTTCCGGAGTGTAGCTTCAGCAGGTGATGCAAAAGGTTGGCGCTTCCTGAGCTTTCGAGCGTTTGCTGCACAGAAAATCAAAAGAACATCTGCATTGGCTGATTCCTGCGACGCCCACATCTTGCCCAGCTCCTCCTCAAGAGGAATCAACTGCCAATCTGTGCCACCTCTTTCGACCAACCATTCTTTGGCGTTGTCCATGGCCTCCTTGGTATTGGCATTGTCGACTTGTTGCCAGAAACCTCTTTGAAGCTGTCTGGTTCTCGGTCTCTTTCTCCTCATGGTGCCACCTGGAGTTCTGAGCCCTTCACCAACTGGTGTCGCAGGAACTGGTTCATCTCGAGGTTCTGCTTCGACCAGCTGTTCATTTTTTTTGGAGGTGCAGCTGATGGAATGTTCTGCTCAACTGCATCAGGCTCGGCATCTTCTTCCAGAGGTTGGATGGAAATTTCTGTCTTTCCTCGCCATGGTCTCCCATCTTTGTAGGGACCATTGAGGTCCACCCAATCATCACAATAAACCTCTGTGGCGCCGTCTTCAAACTCCAAATAAGTCACACGCTGAGGCAGCAACTGTCGAAAATCACAAGGCAAATCATCTGTGCTCATGGGGGAAAACAACTTTGTCCTTGGAAATAAATGCACACGAACAATCTTGCCTTCACCTTTCTCCCATGCGTCTCCAGCGGGCTCGTCACCCACCACTTCGATGTCTGGCTCCTCAGCTTGCTCTTCCATGTCTTCATCTAATGCAGGGTAACTGAGGTCAAAAGCTGCGCGGTGTGCATAGTCGATCTTCATAGAGTTCAACACACCTTGACAAACTGCCAGGCACAACTTGGGAGGATAAGCGGAGGCTTGTCGTGCCCGAGGTCCATAGGAGTTTCTTCCCAAGGTCAGCTGATGTGAACCCCATTTGCACTTGCATCGCTTCCCGAGTGCATTGAGAAGCGGTTCATTGTTAGAAAGCCATCCAGTAGGTTTCTTCACGGGACGAAGGCTCTCCAAGTCAATCTTGCCGTAGGCACACTGATCTGAAACAATGTATTTGCCTTCACATTCATGAAGTAGTCGTGGAAGAAGTTCATCAAACATCCAAGCTAAACTTCCAGCAGGATTTTCGATTAAATAGTATCGACCCCTTTTGAACCGGTGTTTGCAGACCCGGTACACCAAAAGCAATGTCTTTCTACCCACGCCTTCTCGAAGCTGCTGTAGCTGCTCTCGAGTCTGTGCCTTGGAGGTGAGGTTGTTCAACAATGACCACAACCGACAATCGAAGGCAAGGACCGTGAGGTAGGGATTGCGCTCATCAAGTGTGCGCCACAAAAGTCGCTCACCTTTTGAGGACAAAAGATCATAGCCATCTAAGATGTCTAGGGGTTGCGAGCACGTCCAGCCGTAAGAGCGTGTGGCAGCTCTCGTAATGCCGAAAGTACCACCAAAGGGCTCGAAAATCATGGTCGTCTGGAACTGGTGTGAGGCTGCTTCTTCTGCATAGGTATATCTGTGTTTCAAAGCTGTCCAGGTCCGACGATCAAGGTTCCTCAACTGCTTGCTCGACCGTTCAAGCTCTTCATGTCTTCTGGGCTTCAACTCCCCTCGATGGTCTTGTGGAAAAACACCTCGAGGTCCCAACTTCAAAGCAAACTCATGCTCCGAACTCATCTTCACTGGAAAATCAGGCAGGGTCTCAAAGAACTGCCCTTCACCGATCTGGTATGAGGCCTCCTCGACCAAGTACAGGTAGAGGTCGTTGTTGTGTGACTGGCAGAGTGGTGCTTCCCGCTCATGGCTGTCAACTGAAACACTTCCAGTCACATCTAAAGCAAGATGTTTGGTTCTGGTCTTCAACATGGGGACTTTGACATCTAAGGCGCCAATCAACACCATGCGCTCCTTCATAAACAAGGTCATACCAAGTGCTTCCATAGCAGCAATCGACAAAAGAAGCGGTGTTGAACCGGTGGGCACCTCGGCACTGAAAACCATGCCTCTTCGCCCACCAATGACCAAAGGAATCTTCCAAACATTAATCTTACCATCCGTTGAGCCTCCATCTGCAAAATGAAAGGTCTTGGTCTCATCCGTCGGCTCACAAACAAGATCTCCAGGAAGGTGCTTGGTGTAAGCTTCACGCCATGCTTTGGAGTGCATACATGACGTGCAAGCGGTATCCAGAAGACACACTCGGCGTTCGTCCTTCGCAGTGGCTTCTTCTGCAAAACTTTCATCAAAAAACAGTCCAGCATTGTTCATTGATTTCATGTTCGCGTTGTCCACTTCATTGGCAGCATCATTGGGCTCATTGCCTGAGTTCTCTTGCACCATTTCACCTTCTAGCTGTTCACAGGCCGCGCTGGCGGCGAGCCAAGTTGGCCGCTGCCAGTCCCTCATCGTAGGTGTAGGTGAATCAGCATCCTGTGCGTCCATAGGCCGTGCAGCCGATGAAGAGGTTGAGCTTTGCGCGGTTCTGACGGACACACAAGTCTGCACCGCAAACTTCACAAGGCACACCAGGTAGAATCTCGCCAGTCTGCAACGGAAGGCGACTTGGCGTTGCAGGTGATGATGTCTTCGGCGTAGTCGTGGCTGTTGGCGACCTGGTAGGAGAGACAAGAGTTCCCACTCGTTCCATGTCAGCGATGACTGCTGCGGCTCTGGTAGGTGATGATGCGGCTGTGGGACTTCGAAAGAAACGGCTGTCCCTCTCACTTGGATCCTCCACTTCTCGCACGAACCTTGCATGTTCAACTGTCGAAGACGATGCCTTTGCACTTTCCTTCTTCTTCGCAGGGATCGACTGCTTGAGACTCTGAGGCATAGCCTTTGGGGCCGGCGCCGATGGATCAAGCTCCTCTAGCATGATGAACTGACGAGAGCATCCCTTGCGATGCACAGGCTCACCGTTGAAGAACGACTCCATGCGGGATCGAAGCTCTGCCTTGTTGCCGGAAACTCTCAAATCATACTTGTTCAACTCTTCTTGCAGCTGTCGATGCGTCATCTCATCCAGCTCTGGGCGAAGAATGGCACGATCTTTCACCTGGATGATGTAGACTCCAGCCTCCTTGACGATGACTGGCATCTGGCGCTGCAAAGGTGGATTGACCGGCAAGAACAAGGTGTCCTTCTCCACAGTCGATGTAGCCGGTGATGAGAAGGTGTGATCTGGGCGCCATGGTGGTGCATCATTCCCAAGGCTTGCGTAGCCCTCCACCTTGGACCATCCCTCAGACGATTGGGACGCCGCCGAGCTGGCGACCTTGCGACGCCCATCAAGCTCGGTCCATCCGGCATCCTGCTCCATCTCATTCTTCTCCGAGTCGTCTTTGACCATGTAGGCCTGGGCTTCCTCCTCCGAGTCATCCAGCACGAAGAACAAAGGCTCTTCTGAAGCAAGATAGGCGCGAGCCTTCTTGCCACCCTTTCCACCTCCTTTTCGACTGGATCCTTTTCCTCGCTTCGGACCACCTTTTCCAGCTTTGGGACAAACTGGATCTCCTGCCCAGTGACCAATGCGATCACAGGCAGAACAGCGAGTGCGAGCCTTCTCCTTCTCGATGGCTGCGGCTCTCTCTGAAGGGTCACCTTGCTTGTAGAAGCCGCGGTTCTTCTGAATCTCACGAAGGCGCTTCCTTGAATCCTTGTAGGAACGACGCTGCTTGTCCATGGTGGTGTAGGCATTGAAGATCTCTTCATCATTCGAAGCTCCGGCATCTGACTGCAAATCTGGCTCACCATCGTCGAACTCAATCTCCGGCTCATCTTCAACCTGGTTGGCATACTCAAGAGCGTCTTCATTCTCAGGGTCATCATCGAACTCTTCAATGGGGTCATCCTTTAGGATGTCATACTCGTCAGCCATGTGGGCATACTGCTTGCGCTTGCCTTGACCCTTGGAACGAGCATCCCAAGACGGCTTCATCACTTTCTCACGCTCGTGGATGTCGAAGAAGCTCACACGCATAGCTCTCTCAATACCATCCAGATCATAGCTCGAATTGTTGGCCAGCAAAATCTGTCGACGATCTTCTTTGCTCAAATTGCACTGCTTGAGGATGAAGTAAGCCAGTAAATCGGGGCTCATGCTAGTCTGGTCATCGAGCTCCTGAAGTTCATGCCAGTCCTGTCGACGGGAACGGAGGTAGGTGTCAAGAGCTTGTCCTCGTCGCCTGAATCCTCGCTCAAAGAACTTGTCAAACTCTTCGGTCTTCCTGACAACAGTCACTTTCTCGATGGTCTGAAGGGCCTTGAAGATGGCCTTGTAGCCGTCAGGCTTCTGGAGCGTGTCCATGTCCATGAGGAGGTCCTGACAACATCGCCATGCTTCACCATGCAGGGCGTCCATCAAGCGCTTTGCAAAACGGCGCTTCTTCTTCTCTAGATCTCTGGCCTCCTTCTCCGGTGTGTCACCATCTCCCTCCAGCATCGAAAATGCGAAAAGGACTCTCTTCCTATATTCACGCATCAACTCGGGGCGAAGTCCAGTGTAGTGGGGAATTCCATCTTTATCAACAATGATCTCATCATCTTTCCAGAACTTACCAGCATCTGTCGCCATGGCACAAGGTAGCTCCGCTACCAGTGCGAAGCACTGGCAGCGAAGCGGACAGAAGCTCTTTTCCGCGAACAAACCAAAGGTTTAGTGAAACATGTTATGCATGTGCTCCATGTTCTGCTTTGTCTCGATTTGTGTGTGTCTTCCTTGTAAGCATTGGACCGATCGGCTCCTCTTGGCCTATCATGAAAAGGCCGTTTGGCTTTGGGCCGTTGTGCTGACATGGCGAATGCTCTGATCGATCGACCTGACAGTGAACTCACTGGCGAAACTCACAATATATATATTTTTGTTTAATAGGTTGGAGGCCATTCCTATTAGGTTCCTTTTGCTATAAGGTTTCATGCATGTCCACTTCCTTCTCCGTTCCCTTTCATGTCGGACCAAGGCTTGAAAGTTGCCGGTGGAGCGGCAGGATTTTGGCTTAGTAGATTCTAGCCTGCACCACATCGTGTGTGAGCATATCTCTGCTCTCAGTTCCTGTCTGGGTCTCACCACACCCGTCTGCCCCATTGAGCCATTGGAAGGAGGGCCAGCTAGTCGGCAGCAGCTATCTGCTAGCTTTTGATCTTTGCTGCGGTCATGTCAATTTGCCATCTGTGTCACAGGCTGAAGTCTTCCCCATCATAGGTTAAGCAAAGTGACGCTTTTGGCACGAGGCAAGCCTCTCAAAGACGTCGCCTCTGGCACTATCGGGAAGTTGCTCCTTCACTCCTTAGGACGCGTTCAATTCCAGCTACTAATGCGCATGGTCCGAAGCCTTGGCCGCCAAGCCGCTGTTGCTTGGAGCCTTGGGCATTTCGTTGGGCGAAACTGGGAGGCCAAAACAACTGTCCGATCGGGCGGATGTTGAAACAAACCAGCCAGCTTCAGCCGAGCGATTCCAGAACGTGACCAGAAAAAACGAAAAACATCGAGGGGTGAAGCATTGGGACTCAACCAAGGTACGTGTTGCACAGGCCCACCTGCACAAAAACTAGCATGCTTGTCAACAAGGTCCGCTGTTGTCCACGATCTGAGAAACAGCTCAATAAGAAATCCAGAAATCCTCACTATGTCTGAGAACCATGAGCAAACACAAGAGGAAAACAAAGGAAGTTGATGGGATTTGCAAGTGGCTGCTGCGCCAACCTGATTGTCCTTTAAAAGGACGTTTGCGTACATTTGTAAGGTGCTGTGGATAGAATTGGAAGATGTCTTGTGACGTTAAGGAGCTCAGAGAACACACAAGTCGACCGCGTGCCTGGGGGTTTCCCTCGTGGAGGGACTTTGGCTTTGGGCTTTGGAAGCTCAGGACGCCGCTCAAGAACGCCCTTGCTTTTGGGCTTCAAAGCCAAGTCTGAGTTGCTGCGGAAGAGCTCCTTCGCAATGCTTGCTCGAACCGCACGCAAACCCATTGGAAATGACCGGCGCGATTTCAAAGTTTGCCAAAAGGAACCTGCCACAAAAAAGTCTATACATATAAACATAACGATAGCCAAAAGCATGGACATACATCCAAAAGCAAATCACGCGAGCGACATCGCCCTCCTTTGGCTTCACATCAGGTCGAGCCCAAGCCGGCTGGACTGGTGTGAATAAGGAGCTTCCATCTACCTGGAGTAGCGCAAATCGAGAATACGCAAAGCTCGGCAGTCATGCTGACTTGTTCTCCTTTTGGTCTATTGCCAGGTTGCAGCAGCGCGTCCAGAGCTATGCTCTGTGCTGCAGCCAGCACTGCCTGCGCAAAAAATCTGGAGTCATCTTTATGTTGCACATGTATCTGTGTATATATATATATAAACTATAACTGGTTACCTCTGTATAGACCAAAAAGTTTGGCGAGGTCCTCCTTCTTCCTCAAAGTGTCCCGAATTCTTTTTTAGCATCGCTTCAAGGCAATCTGGACTTGCAGCAATTGGCTCAGCTCAGGTGAGCAATTCATATCCACGCCGACATCTTCGCCTCTGTTTGCACTTCCCAGTGCTCTCCCCAAGCGGGCCGAAGAGGACATTGCCTCAGCTTGGTTCGTCGTGCTGCCTTGAGAGCTGCTTTTCGCCGTTTGTGTCAGTTGGTGCCATCCGTAGTCAAGCAACGGTCCCCGCTGCGTTGCATCGCACGCTTGGGGAGATGATTTTCCTCGGTTGGCCCACAGGGGATGGTCCACGTCACCACTGATGAGTCAATGAAGATAAGGCGCAACAGGGACAGCCATTCTGCAGGAAAACGCTTTGCAAGCGAGCATCTCAAAC